GACTCATTGCAGGCAGCAAACCACCACCAAGGCCACTAAGATTGCTCCTGCAGAAGTAACCCATGACATGCTTCCCTAATGACCGTTCTCAGTGGTCTCTTCTCAGGCAACCAGGCTGATGCTGCTGTCCACTTCTAGAAACTCACCTGTCCCTGATTTAAGGACCCCATTCCCGCCTGCTTTCCTCCTTCCTGTTTCTTCCCAGCTCCCCATCACAATCTGGTTAGGTGCACAGACTCTCAAACCAGGTTTCCTGGACTCATAATCCTGCCTTTACTACCTACTACCTGGGTAATCTTTGTAAATTACACAACATCTCTGTGCCTCGCTTTTCTCATCTGTAATAGGGATAGTGATAGCAAATAGGGCTGTCGTGAGCATCAAGTAAGTTTGTGTATTAAGTTCTCAGAACAGTGCCTGGCATGTGGTAAGTACTATATAAATGTCAGCTAACAGTATAATTCACTGGCCTTTCTGCTAAGTGAGGGCCATGGTGTTCTATTCTTGACCTTTTCTTTCCTCTCCACATTCTTCCCCAGAACTTTAATCGCTTGCAAGATTTTAACTTTCATTTCTAAGCTGAAGACTACTGATCCCTATTCTGAGGTGCCTCCTAGACATTTCTATGAGGAAATCTTGCAAACAAATTCAATTCAATATGCCCCCAACTAAGCTGGTTTTCTTGCCTCCTAATCTACTCCTTACCCAGCATGGCATTCTCTAGAAACAGCAGCACCACCTGCCAGGTTTCCTCAGAATCATCTTTGACTTGCTCTTCTCATTCAGTTCCCACACTACACCCAATGTATTCTACCCCTGCATGTCTCAGATCTGTTCCCTTTTCTCTCTTCTCCCTGCTATGGCCATGGCCTAGGCCCTAATTATTGTCTCTAGCCTAAGTCTCAGTGCCATAAGCTTATGAAGAACTTAGAGATCAGAGGAAGTCACCTGGCAATGGATAAGGGCAAAAGTTCTTCCAAGGAATAGAGGCAGGTATCATAGG